GCCCATCTAGACTGAAGTCTACTCTGGGCAGCTAACAACAAGTTCATAAAACAATAACAGTATAAGATAACAACAACAACATAATATGATACAAGATGGTGAAAATGAATTAACTAATGACAGGAGGGAAGGCCTGCCTTAAGAGCCAGGTCTTGAGCTTGCTCTTAAAAACATCTAGCCAGGGAGCCAGGCAAATTTCTTGGGGGAGATTGTTCCAGAGACAACGAGTCACCACTGAGAAGGCCCGGTTTCTTGTTCTTTCTGTCTGGGCCTCCCTCGGTGTTAGGCCCCTCCTGGCTAGACTGAGTGATACAGGTAGATCTATGTGGGAGAAGGCATTCTGCCACATATTGAGGTCCTAAACAGTTTAGGGCTTTATATGTCATCATTAATACTTTGAAATCAATATATTATATCAATCAATTTCTTTTTCTGCTATGTTTCATTTACTTGTCAGCTAAAAAAATTCCCATAATTAATTCAAAGTCAAGGATAGGTGCCATCCCCACAGACTACCCACCCCCAGAGTACATATAGTGATGTGAAATGAGTTGGAGAGTATGCACGAATATGTACACATGGACATATGCACAAAGATATATATATATGAGTCTGCTTTAGGGACATGGTGGCGCTGTGGGCTAAACTGCAGAAGCCTGTGCTGCAGGGTCAGAAGACCAGCAGTTGTAAGATCGAATCCACGCAATGGAGTGAGCGCCCGTCGCTTGTCCCAGCTCCCGCCAACCTAGCGATTCGAAAGCTTGCAAATGCAAGTAGATAAATAGGGACCACTTCGGTGGGAAGGTAACAGTGTTCCATGTCTAAGTCGCACTGGCCATGTGACCACGGAAGATTGTCTTCGGACAAAACGCTGGCTCTATGGCTTGGGAATGGGGATGAGCACCGCCCCCTAGAGGCGGACACGACTGGACAAAAATTGTCAAGGGGAACCTTTACCTTTACTAGGAGTCTGCTTGGAAGGTGTCCATGAGCTTCATGTTATCCACAACCCTCTGGTTGTCCGTGTAAACACTGGAAATAGAAAGGTAATAATAGTAACCTTAGAACTGCAGAACTGGAAGGGAATCAAACTTCCAACCTCTGGATCCACAGCCAGATACATAAATCACTGAGCTATCCAGCTGTTCTAATGGTTGGCCAGCATCCTCTTGTGGAGCTCTGCTTCTTGACGTGACCACCAGCAGCCGATTGCTGTTAATTAAAGAAATTTTTCAGTTTCGTGATGTGCACAACTTTGTCTCAGTATATATGAATTGCACACACCTCAAAATACTTTTTAAATTAACTGTTAAATGGTACCATTTGTATATATCAGGAATAGGTTTATGGACTGTAATTTGGCCAGTGGCAGGGAGTCACTAAAACCCAAAATCCATCAACCAAGAAGAGCTAGTGGCTAGAAAAAGAGCCTTATGGAAAACAGTGTGCCATATTTGAAAGCCAATTATCATGAGCTGCATTGTTGTTATTATGTGTCATCCAGTCAAATTATGGCAACCCTAATGTGGCATCCAAGGTAAGTTAGATATTTAAGGAATGGCTTTACCAGTTCCAGATCCTCAGTGAGTTTCCATGGCCAAGTGGGGATTCAAACCCAAGTCTCCTGAGGCCTGGTCCATCACTCTATTCACAATACCTCACCGGGTTTAATATAAGGTGTGTCACAAGACATTAAAACCTGCAAGATGAGCTGAACAAAAATGTCTGCTCAGGAACATTCAGGTAATATGCAGAACTCACAGGAGAGGTGCATCAAGATTGTGAGAGAAGAGGCTACCTTGAAGGCTAACCCTGGCACATCATTTCTGCTATTTTACCTGTTGGAGTTATGAAACCTCACCTTCTACCTGGCACATCAGAGATAGTTATTATAAGAGATTGCTTCTGTAGCAATCCTGGGGACATTTACTTGGAATAAGCCCCCCCAAAAACCTCAGTAGGACTTACTGCAATTTATCTGGCAGGTCCACATGATCCAAGGTCTTTGGGTTTAAAATGCAGCCGGGAGCTAAATGAAGATGTACGTGAAACAACTGAGAGAATTTTGGAAACACAAGAGAAACCCGAGGTCTTAGTGCTGCCAAAACGGATATCATGCCAGGTAAGATTTACTGAACTTTGAAAATATTTTCAGTTTAGGATAGTATAAGTTTTTTTTAAAAAAATCATTCTTATGTTTTCTCTCCACTAATGCTCTCTCTCTGTATTCCATTTTATGAAGAAAAGCAAAATACATATGTGCCTTTTTGATGGTGGCACTGTATTTTTCTTACATACAGAAATCAAAGGAATTTAACCCATAGTTGTCATGATGGGCAATTTTTATTGAATTGTCTATCAGAGTAAATAGAACTTAGAAAGTTATCTTTGTTGAATACAACTCACAGAATACCCAAGGTTGGTGGACACTGAGAGTTATAGCCCAAAAAATAATAGTTAAAATTATTATTTCATGCTACAGTTTTCTAGATTTGTAGTGGTCATGTTAGCTTCATACTGTGGGAGTTGCTGTCTAAAAAACACTCCCCAACTTTTCAAGTTCTGGATAAAGCATGTCACTTGAGTAATAGTTAAGTAACAGCTATGTCAATGTGTACTGTACATTTTAGTGTTCTTATTTTGTTGACAATTGGATACCATTGTTGCTTGATAGAACCCTGGAGAAATATTCATCCTCCTGCAAGATGATGTCCCCTGTGATTCGGTAGTGGTTGAGTTTGTAACGGCAAACAAACGGGTCAGGACTGAACCTGATGTTTGGAATCAGAAGGTCAGATGGATGAAAGCTTTAGGTAAGAGAGACGGGGAAATCAGAATGTGTTGAGTCTTGTTTACTCTCGTTCGCAGAAGGACATGGAGTCCTCCTTCCTATCAGAAGCCAAAGCTACTTTTTAGGTGTGTTTCTTAAGTACAGGTTTGGATCGCCTCATTCTGCTTTGTTAAAATACAGGCACAAAATCTTGCCACTGATGAGACATTGGATTTATTGGCTTGTTTTGGATTGACAAAGTGGCAAGTGGCGGTCTTTAAAATGTCATGGATAAGTCACAGATTGCTGTTTTCAATCAATTCATTCTATAAAATGTGCAAGCTCATAGTTCTCTTGTTACTGCTTGAAGTTTAGCAGAATGTTCTCCAGCCTCATATAGCTGAAGCCTTTTCTGGTCATTTTATCTGACAATTACTTATTTTCACATCTTCAACTATTTTTCTTCTTTTGATGTTTAATAGCCACTAAGTTCTTTTCCACTATTCCCTTCTTGAACAATGAGCCTGCACTCATCCACACACACCCCCAAAGCACCTGTTTTATTTAAAAGTCAGTTTCACCGTCTTTTGCTAGTTTGATCCTTTTCTGCTGGAAGTGGTGGTGATGGGGAAGCAATATTTTCCTGTTTAGCCAAAAGGCCAATTCCAAATCCTCCCAGTGTGGACTTCAGTTAGGAAAATAGCATCAAGGTTCAGAATGTTCTTGCCCTCAAATTACATGCAATGTCGCTTACAAAAGCAATGGTTACAAAATTGCTTGAAATCATTGTTCTGAATGAGGAACTTTTAGGCAGAACAGTTTTTCTGTGTAACTTCCTTGGCTCACTCACACAGTTTTTGTTTTGTGCCATTAAGTAACTTCCATCTAGTGGCAACCCTAATAGAGTTTTCAAGATATGTGAGATATTGGAGGAGTGGTTTACCATTGCCACACCCCAGAAAATTTTTCTTCATGAACTCTTCTATGTGCAGGGTTAAAAAAAAACACACATGTGAACGACAAAGACAGAGAGCTTCCTGTCCCGACACTCTGCCCTGTTGTGAACATCTAGTGCATGTGCAGAATGAAAAGAACATTTATCAGTGCTGAATCCAGAGAAAGGAAAAGTTACAATTTTGGATTAGACCCTTCAGAATATCCCAATAGGCATGGCTAGTACCCATGCTGGCTAGGGTATTCAATGACTTCTAGTCTGGAGACAGAAAGTCATTCTAGCACACAACAGATGTCTACTTCCCTTGTTGGCTAGAAACCACAAGAAGCATATGATCTAATCAACTCATTGGTATTTAGAAGTGCCTGGCAGGGCAAAACTGTAAAGGAAAAAGTAATGAAACATATTTGACATACAATATATATTTATTGCAGAAGCTGGCTGGCTGGCTGGCTGGCTGGCTCAGGGAGTTAGAGGTTTGGGAGTTCGGTTTCCCACTGTGCCTCCTGAGAGAAGAACCAGCCTATGTGGCCTTGGGAAAGCTGCACAGTTCGAGGATGCCCCCCAAAGAAGGGAACTTCTGTGTATTTTTTTAACTAGGAAACCCTGGACAGCACATTGTTATTATTTTATTTGTTGCACAGATACAGCTTTTCTTATGGCAATACATGATAGATTTTGCTAGTTGCATATTAAATGTAGCATCTAGTTTCTTCAAAGAGTCTTGTGACACCTTTAAGGCAAATGATGATGTCAGTTTTCTTGAGATGGGCTTTTGTGGATATAGCCTGTTTCTTCAGAGGCATGGAGTACATCAAGACACATGGAATATTCAAGCTACAGGTTTATATGTACACTGATTAGGATTATGGGGGTAAGCCTGAATGAAATGCAGGACAGCAGATGACATTAACATTGGTCTTACACTTCCAAAGGGCTGGTTAACAAAGCATGCTGACAAGAGTGGAAACAAATAAAAATACTGTGAAAGCAACAATTTCTACTTCCAAGGGAGTGTCTGCTTTATCTGAAGCCAGAAGCGCATTGTTTTGCCTCACAGTTTTGATTGAAAAAAAAATCATTGAAATCAAATAGATAAACCTGATGAGATGAGCTGATTAATATATGTTATAAGATATATATTAAAAAGCACTTGTCTTTGTTCTAGCCAACAGAGGTAACAGTGGGCTTTCTTGAAACATCATTGTTCAGCTGTCCAGAATCAGTCTCCGAGGGTTTTTGTTTTTATTTTTGCTTTTGTTCAAGCATCGTTAACCTGAAGATAAAGGCAGAATGTCCAGGGAGAATGAAATATTCTCCCACTGGTTTCTCAGTATTACTGTTTCTAATGTTAGTTTTGAGCTCATTTATTCTTTTTCAAAGAAATTGGCCTTGTTTGTCCTGTGTAAAACACTGTCCAGCAGTAAAGACAACCACACTGGAATACGAGCGGGGATATGAACCTTTGATGTTGTTGTGAATTACATTCTTAGGTCCTTTACAAGTGTTTCCAATGTAAACACCAGAACAGACTTGACATCTGGATCTAAAATAGGACCTGGTTTCTACATGAGCATCTCTCTTACAATGTTTGTGGTTGCTGGTGAATAATCTTTTCAGGTTGGGTAGTTGTCTGTATGCTGGTAGAAATCACCTACCCAGAGGGGCAAGGTAAGTGTTATTGTCTAAGTGCTCACACCAAAGAAAATTCATTAGTCTTAAAAGTGCCAAAATACTCTGCTGTTTTTGCTACAACTGGCCAACATGACTATCTCCTTGGAAATTTGATATGCGTTAGATGGTTAAGGATTAAAAGAAAAGTCAATTTATTTGAATCAGATATCTTCAGAAAGCTCACAAGCTGATCGTGAATATAATAACCTTTTTGTCCTGTTTGGTCCTACCATCTGGTATTCTGGTAATCAAATAGTAAATAATCCAAATAACTGAGTTATTGTCAAGGAAACTAGTGCCATCTCCCCAAATTAATTAAATGTGAGAAAATACATTTTGCCCTCTTAAGTTTAGTTAATGTTTGTGTGTGTACCAAATTACACATTCTACTTTGGATCACCTCCAGCTAAATAGCAAAATATCAACTTGCCTTTAAACTTTTACTTCCAGAATAAATCAAAATGTTGTGAGGGTTGACTTTTAAGTAAAATAGGTGTTTTACTTCCAGAATAAATCAAAATGTTGTGAGGGTTGACTTTTAAGTAAAACAGGTGTTCTTCTACCAGACTAATTTTTGTTGTTGTTTAGTCGTTAAAACCAGTTAAACTTTAAGCAATTGGATGCATATTTAGTACAAAAATCATTAAAAAGCAGGTTACTGTCTTATTTTTTGTTTTGTGGACTATTACGTTCCCTACCTACATGCTATTGGTGTATAATAGTCAAGTGAGTGAAGCCCAAGGCCATATTAATTTGGGTAATTCAACTGTCTCCTGCATAGGAAATTGTGTATATTGTACGTGATGTGTAGGAGGATGTTGGAGGTGATTTTTCCCTCATTCCTGCTCCTTTTCTCTCTTTTCTGCCTTTTTGTTTGGTTTCATCAGATTTTCCTTCTGGCTTTGTAAATGTAAATGTCTACTGTGAAGGAGTAATTAAAGCTACAACGCAGATTGAATACTACACAATGGTTGAAGAGATGGAAAGCTTGCTTCAGAAAGTGGCTGATCCCATAGCCTTTACTTGTCAGGTAAGCTGATGTTCATCTTCATCCAATAAGACAGTAGAGGTAAAGATCTGTGGACAGGAAATAAGAGAACATGCATCTTTGCAAATCCTGTATTTTATCTATTCAAAGATCTTTCTATAGAGCTTTAAATTTTTTAAAAAATCCCAAAGTGGTTCATATTTTTCTTTACAAAATCACAATACAGTAAAACAAATAAATGATAACAAAAATGACAACTCAATAAAATATTTTGTTGAATGCCAAATTGATAATCAAGAAAATCCCTTTTAAAACATAAATCTTCAGTGCCTGTCAGAAACAATTAGCAGATTGAGCCCATCTGGTCTCATTTCATGTACATTGGGCACTGTGATGTGCCCCTGTGTGTCCCCAGATTATTTCACTAGCCTGAGGCTAATGACATGTTCCCTCCTTTACACTGCCACCAGTTGATCTCTGTCAACAATGTTCAATCAGAAAGATTGAAGTCCATGTTGAGTGTAAAACAGGTTTATTGGATACAGTTCACTTAAACAGGTTCTTCACAGACTTTCAAGTACAGTGGTGCCCTGCTTAACGCTTCCCCCGCTTGATGACGAATCCTCTTCACGATGAAGTTTTTGCGATCGCAAAACGATGTTTTAATAGGCAAAAACCACTTTACGATGATAAGTTCCCTGCTTCGGGAACCGATTCCTCGCATTACGATGATCAAAACAGCTGATCGTCGGGTTTTCGAAATGGCCGCCGGCTGCTCAAAATGGCTCCCTGCTGTGTTCAGGAAGGAATTTTTCCCTGCACAGAAATGGAAAATGGCTGCCCTATGGAGGATCTTCACTGGACGCTGAGGTATTTAGCCCATTGGAATGCACTGAACCAGTTTTCAATGCATTTCAATGGGCTTTTTTATTTCACTTGATGAGGATTTTGCTCTACAGCGATTTCGCTGGAACGGATTATCCTCATCAAGTGAGGCACCACTGTATTCAGTAGTTTAGTAATAACTTGTTTCACTCTTAACTCCCACAGACTAACTGACTGACTTTTCACTTCAGACTCTCATCTCTGACTCTGACTGACTGACCGACCTCTCCCTTCTAGTTTCTCTGGCTCCACCTCCCAACAGCTCTAATTGGTGTATGCAAATAACCTTATACATGAGCCAAAGTAGGGTGATTGCTACAGGCACCACAACAGAGAAGGTCCTGCTCAACATTGCAACCAAAATAAAGCCTCTAAGGCTGAAGTATAATAAAAAGAGTAGGAATAGATTAAATAACTTCCATGGAAATGCAGAATGATAGGAAGCAGTATTATATGAAACCAGACAAAAATATGGTGTATGGTGGTTTCAAGAGTTAAAAATCCATAGTTCTCCTGATTCAACAGTGAAAGAAGATTACAATAAGCCATCATCTGATGAATGGATATCAAATGTAGCCTTGATGGAAAATGCAGCAATAAAAAAATATCCGTGAGACAAATTGTGAAAGAGGACTCTGATTGTTTATTTACTCATATTATCTTGTTTTGTTTTTCCTTTAAATGCAACGTGGCATTCATTTCTCCTTTTTTCCCTCTTTCTCAGCCCTGTTTGATAGGTTCGTTTGGGAAAGAGCCGCTGGCAGAAGGCCAGCCAGTAACTTTTGTGGCTGAGGGCCTTTCTGTTTGTGATGCTGAATGCATCACTGCTGATTGTGTGTGGGTGTGGGTGTTCAGCACAGGGGTCAGTAGATGAAATGAAGTATTGATTCGTATGGGTATGACTCACACTCATGGGAGAATGAAATATTTTACCATTTGCATCCAAACTTCCATCCTTCAGGAACGTTTTTAGTTCAACTTGATAGAGTCCCAAATTGGTACAGAAAAAAAAATTCATTAGGTCCAAATTTTTCAACACTGGCTTCCATTTCAAATTCCCTGAGACATGTTGTGAGAGGAAGTATGCTTTCTCCAAAATCAAGACATTTGGGAGACGTGTGGTGCACTTAAGAGAAGCAAAATATAACCATAATTATGTGTGCATAGTGAGCAAAAATATATGCAGCTGAAAAAATACATGATTTTCAGTGGGAAGAAATGATTTATTCCATGGGAAAATGTGTACAGAAATACTTCTAAAATATGAAAAAAGGCACAAATTACCATGAGAAACTAAAAACAAAGCCTTGCAGTGTAATATAAACCAAGGATAGAACATGAATGCAGGCAGGAATTGGAAGAATTGAAGGAAATATAGATGGAGAAATTTCCACACCTCTCACCCTTAAACTAAAATACAGGTGAAATACAGGCTATTATACACCCTAGGAAACCAATTATTTCAGCCTAGAAAGAAAGAAAAAATATCCATAGTCTCAGGATACAGTGATATTCCAGCAGCCACAGGAAAATTACTTTCTTTCCACCAAAGTTTAGTGATGTTTTAAGTGGAATTATGCAAATGCTATGCAAAACCTGTAGTCTCCACTTTGTAGAAAGTCAAGTGAGGTGTCATCACAGCTGAGTAATTCCACAGTGTTCTTCCATGGTTGTTTGAAAGGATTTTCTGTGGAAGAGTAGAATGTCCCTTCTTTAATGATAATTGGGGGCACCCAAGTGAAAAACTCTCAGAGTAATGGGTGACTTCAGTTACCCTTGAACAGGATGGATAAATGCATGTTCTGGTCACAACAAAGAGTCAATGTTCTGGATTAACAAAATGAGCTAGAACAACTGGTCACTGAACTCACTTAGAAAGGAAGCATTATCAAGTTAAATGATCAGTCGCCAACAAAATTCAAATCAGTTTCACTTTGCTGCATTGTTTTTTAAAAAAGAGGGGATTGGTAAAGAGGAAATTGAAAGGAAAAGTTAAGAGGTTTAATGCTTTCTTAAGTCTTGGCTATTTGTTTTAACCCTCTACCATGGCCGATGTACAGAAAAATATCTAGCTAAACACACTTTAGCTTTGATCCCAACCACATTTTGCTGTGGTCCAACCTATTTTATTAAGATCTGAAAACCTCTAGCATCCAATCAAGGAAAATATTCTAACAGGGATCAGCATAGGCAAAGTTTGGTGTCCATGAAATTTCCTCATGGCATGTCAAAGATCTTTTGTTCTCTTCAGTTTTTAGCAATAAATAGTTATGTTGATTAGTTTCGTAATTTTGTTCTTGATCAATAGGTTTCAGATCTGACCACTTTCAGAACATACCTCTTTGTTATGAATCACATTTGTGTAGCCTCTGAATCACGTTAATGTAGCATCATTTCACAGAAAATATCCTAGAATAAACACACTGATATCGTATGAGAAATTCAACATCCAGTATCAAATCAAAGCAAAAAAGCAAAGCTTGTTGCTTATATACTGCCCCATAATGCTTAAAGAACTCTCTGGGAAGTTTACAAGTTAATAATGCAGGCTACACATTGCCCCATCCTCCAGCAAGCTGGATACTCATTTTACCAACCTTGGAAGGATAGAAGGCTGAGTCAACCTTGAGCTGGCTACCTGGAATTGAACCCCAGGTGATGAGCACAGTTTTGGCTGCCATACGTTTAACTACTGCACCACATGGTTTTATATTTCCTGGTAAGCATCACATAGAAATATTTATAATCTGAGATAACAGTCCAAACACATGTACTTCCGGAATATTCTTATATACAAAGAGAAAATAGTGGGCCATGAAAACTGGCTGCCTATTTTGTTTTATGAATTCCCTCTTCTGCAACTCATGAATTGGGAACTAAGAAGATCCTGGTTTCATAAATCTCATGTTCTAATCAGACTTCTAATGTTCTAATTCAGAGCCTCGTGATTTCTCATGTTCTAATTCAGAGCCTCATGGCACAGTGGTTAAACCACTGTACTGCAGCCAAAACTGTGCTCACAACCTGGGGTTCAATCCCAGGTAGCTGGCTCAAGGTTGACTCCGCCTTCTATCCTTCCGAGGTTGGTAAAATGAGTACCCAGCTTGCTGGAGCATCCTCCAGCAATTATGTAGCCTGCATAATTAACTTGTAAACCACCCAGAGAGTGCTTGAAGCACTATGGGGCGGTATATAAGCAGCACGCTTTTGCTTTTAGGGCTGGGTGACAATTTTGTATTAAATTGGTAATTCTTTTTATGCTGAATGTAAAGATGGTTATTTAATCTATAAGTTTATTGCTGTTGTTGTTGTCACATGCCATCCAGTCTCACCTCCAATTTATCGGTGACTCTATGAATGTCCTCAACAGCCCCTCTCAGCTCTTGTATTCTCAAGTCAGTGGTTCCTGTATGAATCATAGAATCCATAAAATTGTGGAGTTGGAAGGGGCCTACAAGGCCATCATCCAACCCCCTGCTCAATGCAGGAATATATCAAAGTATATCTGAGAGATGGTTGTTCAGTTTTCTCTTGAATACTTCCAGTATTGGAGTGCTCATCACCTCCTGAGGAAATTGGTTCTATTGTCATACTGCTCTAACAGGAAGCTTTTTCAAATACTGCTCTAACAGTTAGGAAGCTTTTTCATCTAAATATCATGGAGGCAGCCCATTTCATATATGGTCTTCTTCGTTTCCTGCTCCCTTCAACCTTTCCTACCATTATTGCCTTTTGTAGTGAGTCTTGTCTTCTCATGGTGTGCCCAAGGTATAACAGCTTCAGTTTTAGCATTTTTGTTTCCAAGGGACCCATTTATTCTTCTCTCCAGCAATCCAGGGTATCAACAAAACTCTTCTCCAGTGCCATATTTCAATTGAATCAATTTTACTCCTGTCAGCTTTCTTCACTGTCCAGATTTCACACTTATATTTTTGTAGTGAGTCTTGTCTTCTCATGGTGTGCCCAAGGTATAACAGCTTCAGTTTTAGCATTTTTGTTTCCAAGGGACCCATTTATTCTTCTCTCCAGCAATCCAGGGTATCAACAAAACTCTTCTCCAGTGCCATATTTCAAATGAATCAATTTTACTCCTGTCAGCTTTCTTCACTGCCCAGATTTCACACTTATACGTCTGCAGTCAAGCTGTTTTGACTCAGCAACTGGCTGTCCCTGTTACCAGAGCTTGGACAGTTTGGCTGGTATAAATGGAAAAGAATTTTGTTTCATTTCATTTTTAAATTTATTCCCAGAATTCACCTTTTTTGCCTATTCAGCTCAAAAAGGACTTTACATTTTAGAAAAAGTGAATTAGGAAAAAAAAGCAAAAGTGTCAGTTTTTTGCCATCCCTATTAATTTCTTAAAAATAATTGCTGAATTTTCAGTAACTGAATGATGAGGAGAGCTTTAAAATATTTCTTATTCTTTGGATTACAACTCCCAGTATATCTAGCCAGCCCCAGGAATTTTAGCCCTATTTCTCTGAGTCACTTGACACTGAAAGTAACATTCCAGTAAGGAGATGCATCCAGATTGTTTATAGTAATGTTGCCACAATAGAAAATCCATTATCAGGCAGTTCCGATATTCATGTGTCCCCAGATAGCATCAGTAATGAATGGCACAATTAATCAAGTAAATCTATTAAGGTTTTTGGTGAGATGCATTTACTTACATTGCATTTTATATGTATATCATGTGCAGTTGTTTGAACTTTTATGAGAGTTACATATGTCCATACAGATATATGTTTTATTCTGTATATTTCAGGACTGTAACTATGGTAAACAAGAGATGACATGGCTTCTGCTATGCAAACACCGACGTTGTTTAATGGGAGATGACATGGCTTCTGCTATGCAAACACTGATGTTGTTTAATGGGGAGGGGGGAGCTACTGTAGGACCTGAAATATAATTTGCCCTACAGTGGCCAGTCTGAGTCCACTTGACAAGTCTATATCATAACAGCAAAGCAAGAACAAAAATAATAGCTGTGTTTGTTATTCAGACAGTCTTATTTTCCTGTGACAAATCCACTATGTCTGCTGCCTAAGGCATTACTACCATAACAAAAGGACTAATAAAAGATGATGCATTACACTATTAGCGTTTCATTAAGGGCAGTGGTAAATTCCTTCCAAATACATATTTTAAGGGTGTTATTGTTCTGCTGAAGGTGCTTTGATACAAAGCAAGACCAAAATGGAGCCTTCAGAAATATGCTCACCTCTTAATATTGTATCCTTATTGAATTAATTATTTAAAAATCCCGGAGCCAGGTGACAAAAAGTCAGCTTTCTGTGGATTTGAGAAGAATATCTCAAGTTTTAAAAAATGAAGTAGTCATGCCTCCAATTGTGATTATCTAGCCCACCAGAATACAAATTTCTGAGGGCATGGCAGCCCCACAAAATACAGTGGTGCCCTGCATAGCGACGATTAATCCGTTCCGGATTAATCGTCGCTATGCAGAAACATCGCTAAACGGAACAGAAAAAGCCATAGGAATGCATTAAACTTGGTTTAATGTGTTCCTATGGCTCCCAAACTCACCGTTCAGCGATGTTCCTCCATAGCGCCGCCATTTTCGCGCCCTTGGTAAGCGAGGGCAGGGTGCGAAAACACTTGCGGTGGCCATTTTGTGCACCCGGCGGCCATTTTGGAACCGCGATCAGCTGTTAAAAAAATATTGCAATGCGAAGATCGGTAAGCAAAACGCTTACCAATCATCGCAATGCAATGTTTTGCCTATTCAGAACATCGCAATACGATCGCATTAGCGATCTAAAAAAATAGATCGCTATGCGAATTCGTCATTAAACGGTGTGCTCGTTAAGCGAGGCACCACTGTACATCATTTCACATTGCAAGGTCTGGACTAGAGATGGGCCCGAGCCTCGTTTCGGAGGTTTGTGCCACTTCATCGGCACGGCACCACAGGTGCCATTTGTTTCCTTTCCCCACCCCGAGCCAGCTTCCTCACTCACCACCCAGAGTGCACTGGTGAGAGGGAGAGTCAGGTGGGGCTGGGGTGGGAGAAGGGAACATGGTGGCCAACCTATGGTGGCACGCCAGCACAAACCTCTGAACCGAGCTCATGCCCATCTCTCATCTGGATTCAATCTACTGCATCAACAGTTAATAGGATTGGGTAGGACATGATGTGAAAGACTTCCCCCACCGACACTGGAGAGCTAACAGAACTTGGAAAAGCGACTTTTTGGACTGCCACGGTCCATGGTGGCCGAAGAATGCTAGGACATATAGATTTTATTTCTTTTGCTAAGCTCTGTTGAGGAGTAGCACAGAAGTCATTACTACTATAAAAATCCATTAAATTCTCTGAAAAACATTTCAGTCAGACTTCTAAATGCTATCATGATGGTTTATCATTTTAAAATACTAAAGCTGACAAATGTCCACCACCAACAACAGAAAAGAGTCATCCAGGCGAACTGAGAGTTTCTTTAGGAAATGGTGGAATCAGCATGGATTTTCTTCACCTTCTCACTTCACTATTACTTATACAATGCTTGAAAGCTTTCAAGTGGTCAAAGCACTTTGCATGCATTATGTGTACAGCATACATTTCTGAGGTTCTGGAGAACCTCACAGATGTTGACTGAAGTGGCCAGCTGACACTCCATGAAAAGTTAAATAATAATAATTGCATTAATCTTAGAAGTGACACAGGACTGTTTATTGCTTCTGGTGCTTTAGGTTAAAAATAATTATCTTTTTGGAAAATGCTACAGTATGAAAGCGAAAGGTTTGCCCTGTTTTATTCTCTCCTTACTATGCAGGCTTCCAAGTTTTCATCAACAGACAAAATAGACAGCATTCTCACATTTTTATTGGACATTCCAGTCATTTCTCATAACTTCAGCCATATTCCGAATAAAGTCCTGGATCATCACTGCCAAAGAGGTGGGTATCCTATAATGTTCTTTCTACCAATTGGTTGCAAAAAAAAAGAGATAGAATTCAGCATACAAGTGAATTCATTTTCTTGAAAGAAAGTACAAAAACTGCACAAGTACCAAAAGGGTGAAGGGAAAACCGTGGGGAAGGAGCACACAAAAGAAAGAGAACTGAGTACTGTCACTTGCCATGGAGTGCTGAATATATTGGTGTGGCTGAAAATTTTGAAGTGGATATGGTGGATTATGGAATGGAACAGTGTATCCTTTAAAGCAGTGTTCCCAGCCTTGGCCAGCACAGCTAATGGTGAAGGCTTCTGAAAGCTTTAGTCCAAGAACACCTGAGAGGACAAGGTTGGGAAACACTGTTTTAAATGGGCATGGCTAACATAAACCATCCCAAAGGAAAGGAAATGCAAGAAAGCAAAGTGGCTGTCCAACGAGGCCTTACAAACAGCAGAGAAACGAAGGGAAACAAAATGCAGGAGAGATAGAGAAAGTTACAGAAAATTGAATGCAGATTTCCAAAGAATAGCAAGGAGAGACAGGAGGGCCTTCTTAAATCAACAGTACAAAGAAATAGTGGAAAAGAATAGAAAGGGAAAAACCAGAGATCTGTTCAAGAAAATTGGAGATATCAAAGGAATATAATGTGCAAAGATGGACATGATAAAGGACAAAAATGGTAGGGACCTCACAGAAGCAGAAGACATCAAGAAGAGGTGGCAAGAATACAAAGAGGAATTATACCAGAAAGATCTGGATGCCCTGGACAACCCAGATACTGTGGTTGCTGAACTTAAGCCAGACATCCTGGAGAGTGAAGTCAAGTGGGCCTTATAAATTATGGCTAACAACAAGGCCAGTGGAGGTGATGACATACCAGATGAACTATTTAAAATCTAAAAAGGTGATGCTTTTAAGGTGCTACACTCAATATGCCAGCAAGTTTGGAAAACTCAGCAGTGGCCAGAGGATTAAAAAAGATCAGTCTACACTCCAACTACCGTACAATTGCATTTATTTCACATGCTAGCAAGGTTATGCTCAAATTCCTACAGGGTAGGCTTCAGCAATATGTGGACTGAGAACTCCAAGAAGTACAAACTGGATTTCAAAGGGGCAGAGGAACTAGAGATCAAATTGCTAACATGTGCTGGATTATGGAGAAAGCCAGAGAGTTCCAGAAAAACATCTACTTCTGCTTCATTGCTTTTGCTTCATTGACTATGCAAAAGCCTTTGACTGTGTGGACCACAGCAAACTATGGCAAGTCTTAAAGAAATGGGAGTGCCCGATGACCTTATCTATCTCCTGAGAAATCTATATGTGGGACAGGAAGCAACAGTTAGAACTGGATATGGAACAACTGACTGGTTCAAAATTGGGAAAGGAGTACGACAAGAGTCATATATTGTACCCCTGCTTATTTACCTTATATGCAGAATACATCATGCGAAAGCCTGGGCTGGATGAATCTCAAGCCGGAATTAAGATTGCCAGAAGAAATATCAACAACCTCAGATATGCAGCTGATACCACTCTGATGGCAGAAAGTGAGGAGGAATTAAAGAACTTCTTAATGAGGGTGAAAGAGGAGAGTGCACAAAATGGTCTGAAGCTCAACATCAAAAAAACTAAGATCATGACCACTGGTCCCATCACCTCCTGGCAAATAGAAGGGGAAGATATGGAGGCAGTGACAGATTTTACTTTCTTGGGCTCCATGATCACTGCAGATGGAGACAGCAGCCACGAAATTAAAAGACACCTGCTTCTTGGGAGGAAAGCAATGACAAATATAGACAGCATCTTTAAAAGCAGAGACATCACCTTGCTGACAAAGGCCCGCATAATCAAAGCTATGGTTTTTCCAGTAGCAATGTATGGAAGTGAGAGCTGGACCATAAAGAAGGCTGACCGCCAAACAACTGGTGCTTTTGAATTGTGGTGCTGGGCAAGACTCTTGAGTGTCCCCTGGACTGCAAGGAGAACAAAGGATATGACAGAAGACGAGATGGTTGGACGGTGTCATTGAAGCTACCAACATGAATTTAATCAAACTCCAGGAGGCAGTGAAAGACATGGCGTGCTCTGGTCCATGGGGTCATGAAGAGTTGGACACGACTTAATGACTAAACATCAAGAACACAACTCATTATTTAGAAGCTAGCATGTGACATTGTATTGCAGTTGTTAAGTAAAAAATATTTAGTTTCTGAAAAATTAAGGAAATTATGGTACTCAAACATACCATATAAGAGCTCAAGAAGGTCTGCCCATTTTTGGCAATCTGTCCATATGAGTGCTCTTTATACTCATGGCCTTTGGGAAGGAACGGGATGGCTAGATGTCTCTGTAGGAACAATGCATATGTCTTCTAATAAAAATAATGGCCAGGTTCTTTGCCATGATTTGGATATATGTGCCCCTTCATAATGTTATTCGATGAGGAGGCTGAGATTTTAAAATTTTCAATATGGGGAAAAATTCATCCATCTCTAACTCCTAGTATGCTTAAATAAATGCTGCTCAATGTTAGCACATGTCCAGTATAAATTCTGAATGTTGAATGCTGAAAATGTAAATGCAGAATCAACAACAGGGACGTTTTGAGAAAGATTTATAGCTGCACATTCATTTCAGCTGCACAGAAATTTGCAGATTTAGAGGGTAGGCTCCTTTCTGGTTCCAGTAACTATCCCCTGTGGAATGCAAAGGAACTGAATTAGTAAAGGTAAGGAAAAGCACTTGATATTTGGGGTGGGGGGGGTCAAGCAACAACTTCAGATGCCAAACCTTGCAAATGTTTTTCTCTCTTTTTGGACTGTTAAATCCTCCCAACCAGCCTGGGGGGCGAAGAGAGTGTAATATGTGATACAAAAGAAGGTGTTTTTCTAAGCTTCAGAGTTTCTCAGCTCATTTCTTATTTAGATCGTTTGGATTCTAAAGGATTGCAGCATGCAAACATTATGTGCTGTTGTGAGCCATGTTTTTTACTGAGCTAATTGCTGCACACACATTCACATTCTCTGTGCTGATGCTGAAGATGTAGGTTTACAAGGTCAAGAGTAGTAATTATCTGTAATTATGGTGGGCTTTGAAAAAAGGGGGTGGAGCAATAAAGGCTGTCCATTCAACAAAATTATAATTGCCGAGAAATGTGCATTCTCCTTAATAAGTAAAATACATGTGTTGGTTCATAACCGATTAAAAAAGGGAGAGAGCTTTATTTGTTTTTGTTCCTTTGAAAGCAATGAGGTCTTGTAGAATATTTAGAAATGTCTTTGTAGAACTGGCTACTGAGGTGTGATATACATAGTGAAGTCTGCTATTTATATATCACAATATCTAGCCAGCTTTAAACACATTTGATTTCAAGGAAAGCAATAAAAACATCTCTTCAGGGGTAAGCAGCCTGATGCCTTTAGATGTGATGGAGAAATGATTTGGCCAACATGGTCAACGGTCAGGAATTGTGGGAGTTGTAGTCGTTTTGGAGGGCACAGATTCCATTCTCCAACCTCTTCCTCTGAAAGCAATAAAAACCATGCCATTTATAATATCTGTCCATAGTGCTTAAAGCACTTTCTGGGCAGTTTACAATTTATGCAGGCTACACTTTCCCCCCCTCCCCCAGCCAGCAAGCTGGGTGCTCAGTTTACCAACCTCAGAAGGATGGAAGGCTGAGTGAACCTCAAGCTGGCTGCCTGGGATTGAATCCAAGTTGTGAGCAGAGTTTTGACTGCATGACAGCAGTTTAACCACTGTGCTGTGAAGCAATGGAAACTTGAAAGACCCACCATTCCCTGCTTTGCCCTTGCCTCATTTTGTCACATACTGTTCATCTGCAGGTTTGCACTAGTGTCCTGACAAATTATTTCAGGCAACTGGACTTCCTTTCTGCGAGTATTTTCTTTCCTCACTCATTTTGATGGAGGGAGGAAATCTCTGTATGCATCATTTGTATGCTTGGGAATTCTGGCTGTAGCTTTTGAAGCACAGCAGACTTCCATAGAGGACATGGAGCATAGTCACATCAGTTCCAGCTCATGACAGGTTTGCAAACTGCCCTGCAGTGACCTGTCCTTGTCTTATAATTAAAAGGGACTGATGTTTGCTGTTAAATCATTCTTTTGCAAGCCTTATTCTGATGGACCCTTGATTTTTATTTATTTTTTTGCTGCCTTGGGCAACAGAAGAACTGGTAGCTGTGCATGCTTTGCTACACTTTTAGAATATTCCCTCCTCTTAGCAGATGATGAGCAACAGGTGGTCTTGAATCTAGCCCCCACTTTTTTCACCCATTCCAATAAAGATCACTGTGGATCAAGTAGGCAGATCAGATGCCAATTGGCACATGCACATTACTCTTGCCAAGCCACAGGGATATGCACAGTAAGTGAGATTGGTGGATATTAAGTACTTCTTGCTGGGAGATGAGTAACCAAGTTAAGTCTCACTACATACAATTATGCATGCCTTTCTGGCATACCTTGCATGCTGCTGGTATGCTATTTTCTTGGTTCTATGGGGCTATATTTTAAAATGGCCACTGCATATTGTGCTCAGATTTGAGATGATAAATCGGGTGACAAAAGCAAGAATAACAATAACAAAAACGCAAGCTCAAATGGATATTACGCAAATATATGTCTTCCTGAGTTCCACACACAGATAAGGTGCCAGAGTAGCTTCCAGAAAAATTATACAAAGTCTCTTCAATGAAAAAAGCAAAACCCAGAGCCGCCTTCTGTGAAATGATCCAAGGCATAAAGATGGTTGGCTCAAAAAGAAAAAACTCTAATGCCTTAAAATAAAATACAGAGATCAGCAGAGATAACACAATGCCACTTCATTCTGTCCACTACCCCTCCTGTACAAATGCATTGGCATTCTGCCACTTAATGCAAGGTAATGAGAACCTACTTTCCTGCTCCCAAGGGAACAAAGAGCCCTTTTTGTTTCTCTTCCCATCTCTAAAGTGCACCTTAACAAGCAGAGCCT